CCGACTAGGGAAGAACTCCTCTATCTACTATCATAAAACAGAAGGCACGCAAATCTTCCCTTCAACCAATATCGATTGAATATGCTGAATAGGAACCAGTAAGATTGCCTAAGTCTACATTAATTGTTAATTTGAAACAGTACAGGATATCTGGTGGACAAAACATATTAGAAACAACGTTTGGTTTATTTAGGCAGACTGGAGCTAAGGCCAGTGAGCACCACCTAGTGGTGAATGCTGGAATTTTTTGCCAGAGAATTTCCATTTGAGAGGCAACTAGCTGCCTATCCGGCTTTGAGTCAGCCCCATCATTGAAGGACATAATAATCCTGACACCTGAAATACTCATGATGTGTTTGTAATGTTGGGAAAACACTGTAGTAAAGAAGGCCATGCCCAAAAGAGTCTCGTAATAAAATGGAAATTGTTTTTACAGGAAAATGCTAGCAAGGAAATGCAAGGAGGTATTCGTTGTATTTATGAACAGGTGGCCTCTTGTTCCCTACTGAAGAGCTGCTAGATCCTATTACTTGGATGATGATGTCTATTAATAGCTCTTGATTGACCAACTAAGAGCTGTTTGATTTATGGATGGCAATTCCAAAGTGAATTAACAACATCCTGTTTGGAAGACTGACACTCAGATTGAAGAAGGTAAAAACAAGTCACTTCAGTTGGCTGAATTGCCTCTATGTTTGGGTTTTTACCAATTCATGGGCAGTGGCCAATGGCCTGGCCATATGGGCAGGCAGATGGGCAATGGAAAACTGTACTATTAAAAGGATGCCTATATAGGGCACAGCCTTATGGAATTCACTATAGCCAGTATCTCAAAAGAGTTGTTCATGCCCCTATAAATAATATAATAAGAAGTGAAGCAGACCTCCTTCCTCCCCACAAAGGCAATTAATATCCTAACTTTTATGCTGGAAATTTCTTGGCAACGTTTAAAGGATTTTTACTGTTTGTGCATGTATTCATAAACACTTGATTTTGCCCAGTTTTTTTCATATTTTAAATAAATGCAACCATACATTATTACTCATTTGTGTTTGGCTTTGTTCATTCAATATTTTATTTTTAAGAATGGTCCATGTTGTTGCATCTAGCATTAGCTCATAGGTTTTGGTCGCTGTGTAGTATCTCATGTTTTAAAATTCTATGTTTACTGGCATTTGGATTGTTTAACTTTGTAACTATTTTACAATAATATCACTGTAAACATTTTTGCTTTGCTTTTTGGTGTACATATGCACAAACATTTCAATAAAGTATGTATCTGGGAGTGGAATTGAGGGTCATAGAGTACATGTATCTTCTACTTTGATAAATAACTTTGTTGCCCTGATATATTTTTCCACCAATAGTGTGTGAAAGTTGAGTATCACATTCTCACAGAACTAACAATTGATATAGTGTTAGTCTTTAAAAATATTCAGCTGGATATGTACTGGTATTCCATGGTTTTAACAGGCATTTCCCTGGTTATTAATGATATTTTAAACATTTTCATGGAAATTTTGTTAAGATTTAAATGTCTTATGATCCAGCTATGGCCAATTTCTGTAAATGTTTTCTGTGTCCTTATAAAGAAATTGTATTCTGCAGTTATTGACTGCAGGATTCTCTATAGATTTTTGGTCAAATTTGCTGATCAAGTTGTTAAAATCTTTATATATCCCAATAGTTTGTTTGTCCTATCAGTTTCTGAGAGAACAGTGATTAAAATGTCACACTACTATTGTGGATGTCTATTTCTCTTTTTATTTTTGTAGATTTTTGGTTTATATATTTTTGGACTATGTTAGTAGGCAAACACAAATTTAAAATACATACTTTATTCCTGTTAATGTCATCTTATCATTCGGAGATACGCCATTCTATCTTTGGTAGTACCTTTTGCTTAAAGTCTACTTTACGGGATGTTAATGTAGGTATGTCTACTTGTTCTCTGGTTGGTATTTGCTTGGTATATAGTTTTCATTCTTTGGTTTAATTGTCCTTTACACTTATGCTTTGTTTGTGGTCTTTTGTAAACAGCATTGAGTTTGGCTTTGCTTCTTTTTTCCAATATGATGATCTTAGATCCATTACCGGATAATTTAAGCCATTTATATTTAGTGAAATCACTGATGTACTGGAGTTTAAATCTAACATCTAGGTACATGATTTCTATTTGTCTCAACTCTTCTATATTCCCTTTGGTATCCTTTCTGTTTGTTTTTCTGTCTTTACTTTCAAACAAGCTTTTAAATCAAAGTACAATTTTATACAGAGAAGTATTAATACAGATCATAAGTATACAACTCAAATTATCACAAAGGGAGCAGACCAGTGTAACCACCATTGAGGTCAAGAAATAGAATATTAACAACGCCCAAACACGCCACTCACGTACTACACCATTCATTACCCTCTTTATCCTTGCTAAGGACAACCACTACCCTGATTTCTAACACCATTTATTACTTTTCCTCATCTTGAACTATGAAGTATTTCCAAATGAAATTATAACATATTATTTTGTATCTGCCTTCTTTCATTCAATATGGGATTCATTTATGTGGTTGCTATAATTCATTCATTCATTTTGTTTGCTATGTAGTTCCATTTATGAATATATGATAATTAGCCATTTCACAGCTCTTCATTGTTTTGAGTGTTGAAACATCTATAAATTGTGTTAATATGAATAATATTCTTGTACATTTCTTTTGGTACATAGTTCATAAATTTCTGTTGGGCATATACCTGAGAGTAAAACTGCCAGAGCATAGGGTTCACACGTTCAAATTAAGTAGAAAATGTCAAACAGTTTTTTAAAAATCATTATACCAACCTTCATTCCCATTAGTAGCTTGAGTTCCTGTAATTTCATTTCCTCTACATACGTGGCATTATAAATCTTTCTATCTAGTCACTGTGAGTGTGTAGTGGTATCTCATTATGGTTCTAATTTGCTTCCTCTGATGATGAATAAGTTTGAGCATCATTCAAATTGTTTATTGGCCATAATCTTTTGTGATGCCCCTGCTCCAGACTTTCTTATTCAGGTCTACTATTTGTCTGCCTTTTTGTTGACTTGTAAGATCTTTCGTTGTTGTTGTTGTTCTGGATGCAAGCATGTTGTATGTGTTGCAAGTATCTTCTCCAGACCTGTGGCTTGCATTTATCCTCTCTTAATTGTATCTTTTGATGCAGAAATTAATTCTAATGCAGTACATTTATCCATATGTCCTCATAGCTAGTGCTTTTTGGTCCTTTTAAAGAAGTCTTTGCCTACATAAAACTTACCAAGATAGTCTCCTATGTTGTATTCAAGAATTTCGCTCACCAATCTGGTTGCTACTAACTACATATGGCTATTGAGCCCTTATATTGTGGCTAGTCTGAATTGAGATGTGCTGTAAGTGTAAAATATATATAAGATTTTGAATACTTTGTAAAGAATGTACAAATCTTACTAATTTTGTGTTGATTGCATGTTGAAACATTGAGTAGGTTCAGTATAAATAACCTAGTGAGTAACCTAGGTTTCTTTCACTAGGTTAAATGAAATATCATTAAACTTAATTTTAACTATGTCTTCTTTTTTAATGTGGCTACTAGAAAATTTGAAATTATACATGTAGTCCACATTTATAGCTTACATTATATTTCTTCACACAGCACTGTTCTAGAAAAAAGTTTAAAGACTTTCCCATTGTCCCTAGAAGTTATTTTTATGTATGGCATGAGGTAGGGGTCTTATTTCTTTTTGCTGTATGGCTAACCAGTTATTCTGACACAACTTATTCAAAAGACAGTCCTTTCACAACTCCTATGCAGTGCCATATTTATCCTAAATCAAGTGACCATGTCTGTATAGGTATTTTTCTCAACCAGATAGCCTGTCTCATTGATATTTTTATTTATTCTCATGTCAATACCATACTCTCAGAATTACTATGTATGTATGTATGTATGTGTGTATGTATTTTATTTATTTACTTAATTATTTTGAGATAGAGTTTTACTCTGTTGCCCAAGCTACAGTGCAGTGGCGTGATCACTGCAACCTCAACCTCCCCACCTCAAGTGATCCTCCCACCTTAATCTTTCAAGTAGCTGGGACTACAGGTGCATACCACCACACCCAGATAATTTTTGTATTCATGTTGCCCAGGCTGGAATTACTATGGATTTTTAACTCACAATATCCAGTAGGAATTAGAATTGGCCATTTTTTTGAGACAGGATCTCACACTATCTCTTTTTTTAATAGCAGCTTTTTTTTACTGAGAACAAATTTATTAAATAAATATCTGCATGGAATATAAAAGGGAACATTGTGCCATGCTATATAATATTACTTTCAGCATTCGTTTCAAATCTTATGGCAAAACAATTATACTTTGGGGGGGAGATGTTGTTTTGTACTTCTCACCAAACTAAGCGTTATATTTTTCCTGAGAGGATGTCAACACTTTTCTATCTTAAGTGATCACACCACTGCACTCCAGACTGGGTAAGAGAGAGAGAGAGAGAGAGAGAGAGAGAGAGAGAGAGAAAGAGAGAGGGAGAGAGAGAGAGAAAGATCCTGTCTCAAAAACAAAAACAAACTGGGCGTGGTGGCTCATGCCTGTAATTTCAGCACTTTAGGAGGCCAAGGTGGGTCAGTTGTTTGCGACCAGCCTGGCCAACATGGTGAAACTCCATCTCTATTAAAAATAGAAAAATTAGTTGGCTATGGTGGTGCATACCTGTAATTACAGCTACTCAGGAGGCTAAGACAGAATAGTTGCTTGAACCTGGGAGATGGAGGTTGCAGTGAGCCTAGATCAAGCCACTGCACTCTAGCCTGGGCAACAGCGTAAGAACAAAACAAAGACTAAAGGAGACATGACACTGGGGCTTCACAGAAAATCTTAGTTGCCTCCCTGTCCCTCCATGCTCATGAGCATCTCATCCCATATAATTCCTGCTTCTCCAGGTGAACAGGTCTTCACGATGACCGGAGACAGAAGCCCCTGTCTTGGCTAAGAATACTTTCTGCTCTCCCTATCCCCACATCCTCTTTCAGTTACCCATCACCTCGCTCCTTCTGAGCAATACGGTTCTGATGTCAAAGCCAGCACAGTAAACAGCTTCTGCTGTCCCTGAGAACTGTTGCTGCTGCAAATGATGCTTCCACTGCTACAGCTGGGTAAGTAAGGTAGGAAACAGCATTGAGGTGTGTTTGGAAGCCAAGACTCCAGGGCCTGGGTGTTGATGGGGCAGAGGATGGGCTATGGAGGCATGGAGGAAGAGAACATACAGGCATAAACACCAAATAACCAATATGAATTAGACATCTTCTGTGTGCCAGATCTTGACAGGGCTGGGGTGTCTGAAGCAAATAGCAAATTGGGCAAAGGAGAGGGATTGAGAGTGTGTGTGCTATGAAGGCCTGAGAGCACTAATAGCTGTTTCAGACATTACTGGAAGCCCTGAAGTTAAGTCTCTCAGCATTTCCATGGGCACACTTTGCCAGATGGAAAAGACAGGTTCAGAGGATAGCCGTAGAGGGGGCTGTGCATCAGGGTCCCCACACATTCCTCAACAGCACCCCCAAGTGACTCAGGTGAAGAGACCAAGATCAAGAGCTACTGGTTAGGGGAAAACTACCCCTTTCCTCCAGTAACCTCAAACAACCTCAACGAAAAAGTGCATGTAAACCTGAAGACGGATTCCTCATTATTGGCACCAATGATGAATGTCCTTCCTAATCCTTCATGTTCATCAAATGGCCAACATGTCCTATCTATTCTGTGTAGAGCAAGGCTGTTTCCAACATTCTTATGAGAAGATGCCATAGTACTCTTGGCTTCCATTGAATCTTCCATCAAAGGCCACTTGGGACTGGGAAGAAGGAAATTGAGAAAGGTGTTGTGTTTACTGAATGGCTAATACTTCACTATGCACTGAGCTGGGTGCACTACAAATCTCAGGGCATTCATTCTTATAGCAAAGATGATATGAGAAGTTCAGTGAACATCCTGATTTTCCAGGCTAGGAAACAGCAATGATAAGTGAAGTGACTTGCCCAGCAGCATCCAGACTGTAAGTGAAGGATGGAGAAATTGATCACAGAGCCTAAGGGGAAAGTTGGGGGTGGGAAGAAGAGAAGCAGAGTAGGAGCTCTGGCTTGGACATCTAGCCTTGCTGGGTAGGTGAGGGATCACAGACTATGTAGATCCTCAGAAAATTTACTTGCCACCCCTCAAGAAGGTCTAGCGATCAGGTTCAGGCCAAATGAGGAGAGAGGATAGAGGGGAACTTGTCTGTGAGGCCTGAATCCTGTGGGCTTCCAGAAAGTCCTTCTGAAGCTCTTTGTGAATAGCAAATAAAGAGAAGGCTGCATCCTGGAGAAACTGGAGGAGGGAAGCCAGGAAGCCTTGCTGACTCCTGACTCTTCCTCCCCACAGTACCTACTAGGCTGCTCAACTCCTCTTGCTCCTTGGAGAAGACACTGCAGTGCAGCTGTTCCTTCCATGGGATCCCCACACCCTCTGTGCAGTGGTGGATGGGAGGAGTCCCTGTGGGTCTGGATGGCATTGATGGCAGCCTCCAAGTGACTTCCACCATGCTTGGCCCCTGGGCTAACAGCACCATCAGCCTAACTGAAGAGCCAGAAATGGGCATGAGACTTCTCTGTGAGGGAAAGAATCAAAACGGAACCCACGCTTTGAGCATTCTACTGATGTCAAGTGAGGGTGGAGGGGGCTCGGTGACTGGGTGAGGACAATAAGGGGGATGGGGACAGGCACTGGGGCTAGAGAATGGAGCAGAGTTTTGGTTCCGAAGCCGAACTTCTCACATGCTCTCTGCTTCCAGGAAAGAGTTCTTTGACTTCCCAGGCCTTCATGAAAGGGCTGATCCAGGGTGCTATCTATGCAGGAATTGTAATTGCGCTGCTCTTCCTCTGCCTCCTCCCTCTCATGTGAGTACTAAGGTTAAAATTCACTTGCGAGCCTACTACCCGGCAGGCCCTGGCTGCAGCCCTGGCTCAGAGAAAGCAAAGACAGGACCCCTCCCCTCAAGGAGCTTAGAGTCTAAAGAAGGAAAGAGGCACCAAATACAGTCACCACAATCCAGGGCCATCAGGACAATGGCTCTGTATTGACAGAGCCATAAAGCTACATCATAAAACAGACACTTCCAGTACATTTTAAAAAGGAGAAAGCCAAGGAGGGGTTTGGCAGCCCTGGAGAAGGCAGCAGCAAGTACCCGGGGTGCTGTCTGTGGTGGGCCTGCAGGGCTAAGTACTCATTAGCTTGGTGGAAAGTATTAATAGTATAGGTTAATCTCATTACTGGGTATATACCCAAGGGATTATAAATCATTCTATTATAAAGGCACATGCACATGTATGTTTATTGCAGCACTGTTCATTCACAATAGCAAAGACTTGGAACCAACCCAAATGCCCATCAATAGTCTGGATAAAGAAAATGCAGCACATATACACCATGGAATACTATACAGCCATAAAAAAGGATGCCTTCGTGTCCTTTGCAGGGACATTGTTGAAGCTAGAAACCATCATTCTCAGCAAACTAACACAAGAAGAGAAAACCAAACACTGCATGTTCTTATAAGTAGGAGTTGAACAATGAAAACACATGGGCACAGGAAGGGGAACATCACACACTGGGGCCTGTTTGGGGGGGTGGAGATTTCAGGGAGGGATAGCATTAGGAGATATACCTAATGTAGATGATGGGTTGATGGATGCAGCAAACCACCATGGCACATGTATAACTATGTAACAAACCTGCACATTCTGCACATGTACCCCAGAACTTAAAGTATAGTAAAATTGTGTATATGTGTGTGTGTGTGTGTGTGTGTGTGTGTGTGTGTAATACAGGTTGAGTATCTCTAATCCAAAATCAAAAATAAAAAATGCTCCAAAATGCGAAAGTTTTTGAGGCACTGACATAATGCCACAAGTGACCTCATGTGACAGTTCGGTGTACATAAACTTTATTTCTTGCACAAAATAATCTTAAATATTGGATAAAATTACTTTTAGGCCATGTGTATAAGGTATATATGAAACATAAATGAATTTTGGTTTTGTTTCTGTTTTATTTTATACTTATTATTTATACTTTTGTTATTTACCATTTATGATATACCCAAGATATATCATATGCAAATATTCCAAAATCTTTAAAAAAAATAGAAATCTAAAACACTTCTGGTCCTAAGCATTTCAGATAAGGGATACCCACCCTTTGTATGCGGAAGCCCAGGGGCATACTTGAGGCATTTCCAGTGTCTTTGTGTAATGTCAGGTGCGCTGAGAGTGCCGGGTAATGGCTAAAAATGAGGTAGAAAGACATCCTTGGCATTGGTTCACAGAGTATTAAAACTTAGCTGCATTTATTGGCTAGAAGCCTGGAATGAGAAGGGTTGCGTTGCAGGAAGTCAGGCCAGAGAGTCATGCAGGGGTGCCTGTCCAGACAGCTTGGACTGAATCCTCAGTTGGGAGCCATGAAAGATTGCTAAACTGTGGAGGAAAGCTTGAGCTTGGGGTGGGACACAGAGAGAGTGAGAGCCAGAAGGTCAGAGGTCAGGCAGGAAGCTGGTGCAGGGGACTAAGCAGGAAATAGTAGGCCTGATCTGGGGTAACTGATGAGGGGCAGCCAGAGAGGTGGGACTTGGGAATGGCCAGCTATGGGGAGAGAAAGATGAAGAGTGAGGTGGCAGGGCAAACTGAGGAGCTATTTTCAAAGTATAATCAACTGGACTTAAAGACCAGTAACAATCTCTCCACCAGTTGCAAGGCCCTTTCATAGCTGAGCTCATCTGAGTCCTACAGCCTAATAAGCAGGGTATCCCCATTATTCAAGGTGTGAAACTAATTCCCAGAGAGGATGTGTCGCTTGCCCTGGGTCATACAGCAAGCTGGTACTGTTGTTGAGGCGCTAAATCAGTAGCTCTGGTCAAGATAGAGCCCATTTGGGGATGCAGGGAGATGGAAAGCCAGAACCAATCCAAAGCTTATTTTCTTAGAGTGAAACATATCAGAAAGAAGCAGGCAAAGAAAACTGCAGCAATCAAAGCAAAAAAGAGCTCTAAAGTCAGAGCAAGCCAAGAACTCAAGACGTCTCTGAAGCCTGAGGAACCAGGAAAACCCATAGTCGCCACGTTTTCTGAAAGCCGAATATTGGTGTGTATCCATTGTGTCTGGTATCTAGTCTATGGGAATACGGATAATAAGATCCACAGCGAAAGGAGCAGTGTTTTGAAGGTGTTATCATCCTCAGTCTTGCAGGACACCTAATGCCAGAATGTGCCTTCAGATCATTTTATAAATAGGAAGCAAAGGCCCAGAGAGCAATTAAAATCAATTCACACACACACACACACACACACACACACACACACAGACACGGATACATTGAATCCCCACTGAAAAAGCAGTTGGGGAAAATCCTAATAGCAGTTGTAGCACTGGAGTGGAAACCAAAGGATTTGGTCCCTGAGTGCCTGGCCAGCCGCAGTCAGCTTGGTGTAGATGCCACAGGCCCAAGTCAGCCTGAAGTGGTTAGAGATCAGACCAAGCCCAGGTTACTCCTTCATTCACCCTGTACCCCACATCCTCAGCAGGGCTTGAAAGATAAAGTGCCCAAGGTTGCTAGGCCTCACTGTTATTTACCATTTATGATTCTCCAGAATCAGAATTGCCCTGCTGCCCTCCTAACACCCAGCATGAACATTTAATGTCCTTCTGCGGGTAAACCATCTGTTAAATTTCACCAATATTTCCTTCAGTATCTCCTAATCTTTGTGCTGGGGTCTCAGAAATAGGTCAAACCTAGGCCTTGTCCTCAGAGAGCAACCAGACTGGTGGAGAAGGCACCTTCACAGTAGGGAATGCTGAGCCAGGGAGTTACGGTGGGGCACAAGAGGGAGGGACCAAACCTGCATGAGGAAGTCAGGCAGGATTCCCTGAGGAGTCTGAGGAACAGTCAGTGTTATTGGTACTGAGGATGCGCCAAGAGGGACCAGAAGGAGAAGACCAGTTGCAGGCTCCAACCATGGGGTTGTGAAGAAGAGCTAAGCCAGTGCTCACTCCATGTTGCCTTAATTCTGTGCACAAGGGGTGTCTTTTAAAGATTTGGATACCTCACCTCTTCCCACATTCTTCTTTCTTTGTCCTATTTTGCATCTCGCTTTCAGGAAAAGCAAGATAAACGAGCCAGCTAAGCCTGTGGAATGTGCATCAGACATGGAGTCACCATTATCCCTGGAATTACAAAAGCCTGCAAAATGTATAGAGCCCATAGAAACCATGGAGGTGATAATAAACCTGGAGCCCCCTGGACTCTCCTCAGCTCACAAAGCCCTCTCAGTTCCCACATATCCCTCACACTCATTCTCCATTGAATAGGAGGGGTTACTCTTAGACCTAGTCTTAGAACCTCTGAAGGCAAACTTCATAATTTGTTGTTTGGCTAAACCAGAAGAAATCTGCTCCACCCTGGGAAGGTGTCAAAAGAAGGAAAAATACATGTGGCAGTATGAATCAAGTCCATCAAGTTGCTTTTGAGCCCCTCCTGTGTGCCCAGTACCTGAGATACACCTACAAAAGCACCAGGCTTTGAATCCATCATATTTGGATAGAATCCCAACTTCAACGCTTGGTGGCTGTATATCTTTGGGCAAGATCTTTCACTCCCCCACCCTTGAACATCACATGACCCATATCTGGGTGGAGAGTGGGTGAAAAGTACCGTTCAGAGATGCATGACAATGGGCCCTGAATGCCAAGATTCGTTGGAGCTTTGGAGCTTTATCTTGTAGGACCTTATCCTGACTCCCTTAGAATGTAAGTTCTAAGAGAACAGGGATTTTGTCTGCCTCGCTTTCTACTTTTATCAGCAGCACCTACAATGATACCTAAAATACAATAAGATCTCAAGAATGTTTGTCAAATTATTTAATTACAAGCTGTCATAAGGTTTGAAACAAACAAGTAGAGTGACCAGATATATACAGAAACATCATTCTCCTACCCTGACCCCGTATGTGATATATTTAAAAGGGGTAAGCCTGGAGGTAAAGATGATAGGAAGTTATTGCAATATTTCTTGGCCAGATTGAAAGGTGGGCATGCAAGGAATGGGAAAGGGATTCTGGCATTAGAAGGGACCACAGCTGTGTATTGTTCCTCTCAGAATGGATGACAACCTCCCTTCTAGCCAGATGCTAGTAGTTTTCAGCAGGTGGAAAGAGGGTCATCTCTCCCCTGGGGCAGTATTTGTGAGTAAATACAGAGATCCTTAGCACCAGCTAGATGGTCATCTTATACTCAGGGTGGACATTTATGTTAGTCTCCACATGCATAAGCACCTCTTGATAGGCGGTTCACATTTCACAGAAATATCAGATGTGCCAGATGATGAGGGAAAGAAGGAAGACACTGGCCCTCCCTCCTTGGAGTCATGATCTACATAGATAGATAATGAAGAAATGCAGACAAATTTATAGTTTAAAATGTTGATAGGTGCTAGAAAGAAAAAAGGATAGAATACTATGAGAAAGTGCAGGAGAGGAACCTAGGTTGGATTACAGAGTCAGAGAAGGCCTCTCAGAAAAAGTGACACTTCCTTGAGACCTACCGGATTTGTAGCAGCAGATCCATGGCTCTGACACGAGAGAGGTTTAGTGAGTTCTGGAACCCAGAGCAGGCTGCTGTGACTGAGGCGTGAGCTCCTGAAGGACCGGAACTTGCAGGGCCTCAAGGGCTCTAGTGAGAGGTTGAGGTTTTGTCCTCACTTGTGAAGAGTTATTTCTTTTTATGCCTCAGTGCAGCTGTATGAGAAGCAAACGCCAAACCTGTTATATAGAGGCTTCGATCCTCAACTCAAAACCTCTGTGCAGCAGAAAGAGAAGCCTCTATATAGGGCCGGGCGCGGTGGCTCACACCTGTAATCCCAGCACTTTGGGAGGCTGAGGCGGGTGGATCACAAGGTCAAGAGATCAAGACCATCCTGGTCAACATCCCCGTCTCTACTAAAAATACAAAAAATTAGCTGGGCATGGTGGCGCGTGCCTGTAATCCCAGCTACTCAGGAGGCTGAGGCAGGAGAATTGCCTGAACCCAGGAGGCGGAGGTTGCAGTGAGCCGAGATCGCGCCATTGCACTCCAGCCTGGGTAACAAGAGCGAAACTCCGTCTCAAAAAAAAAAAAAGCCTCTATATAACAGGTTTGATGTTTGCTTCCACTGAAGATACATCCTCTATTTGGGAGGGAGAGGCAGACCAGGCTGGGGAGAGGGAGAGTGCCAGTGTTAGGAAAAAAAGAATGAAACCTAGAAGAGGAACAGGAGAACCGGGATGGGGTGGGGATAGGTCAGAGGCGGGTTTGGGAATGGGAACAGAGAGCCTGGGCTTCATGGTGTGTCTCGTTTTCTCAGGGACAGGGGCCTCGGGTGCAGGACAGGAAACAAGGAGCACCCAGGGTGCCTTCTTACCAGCCCTGGGGGTCCAGCACTGGGCATTTTGTCCATGGCTCGACTTCCCGCACCGTACTAGGCTGAGAGAGGAATGTCCCTTAGCAACTCATTGGCCTGGAGTCTAGAGCACTGGTGGGGGTCTGGAACCACATGCCCAGGGAAAACGATTCCGCCATTGGCTGGGGGACCCGGGAGCGACGGTTGCTCCTGACTAGCTCTGGCTCTGGAGACCCGCGCGCTCTCCTATGAGGCTGCGCATCCCAGCAGCGCCCGCGCGAAGGGTCAGGCCCTGATTGGCTCTGGACAGACCCGCGTCAGCTCGCGGGGCGGGGCTTCACGGGGTGGGTATCCCCGTGCAAGGAGGTTGGCGAGGCCTCCGGGGACTCCCGGGTCAGCGAGTCGGTTAGGCTTACTCTACCTTAGTCATTTCCCCGTGTTTGTGTACACTGTCGGGAGCATCTGGAGTCACTGAAAGCAGTAATAGGAAGTCAACCAAACTCGCTTGATCAAAAATTCAGGAGGACATTCGGTTTTCAAGGAAACAGTGCTGAGGAAGGACCAGGCTGGAGCTCTTTGGAACCTGAGACTAGGTGGTAAATATGGAAAAAGAAATGATAATTTAGGGGGAGGGAAAAGAGATCACCTGTGAAGACAACTCATGCACACACCAGGGCCTAGAGAAGTAAATGAGTCTGGGAAGAGATCAGAATTTTATTTTATTATTTTATTCATCTATTTATTTTGAGACACTGTCTTCGCTGTCACCCAGGCTGGAGTGCAGTGGCACAATCTCAGCTCACTGCAGCCTCGACCTCCCAGGCTCAAGAGATCCTCCCACCTCAGCCTCCAGAGTAGCTGCGCCCACAATGGCAGGCTAATTTTTTAAATTGTTGTATAGAGACAGTGTGTCGTTATGTTGCCCAGGCTGGTCCCAAACTTCTGGGCTCAAAATGGTCCTCCCACCTCAGCCTCCCAAAGTGCTGAGATTGCATATGTGAGAAATCAGAGTTTTTGAGTCTGAAGGACCCTTACATGTTCTGCAATAACCCTCCCATTTTGCCGAGGAGGAAAAGGAGGGGAAAGCAGAAAGGGGACAGAACTTGCCCAGAGCTATCCAGCGAGTTACTGGCAAAGCCCCAGCTGGAACCAGCCCAGGGCTCTTTCCAACCTTTGATGTGAGGTTGTAAATTAAAGGAGGAGGAGGGATTTTGAGAGTTAAAAAAAAAAAAAAGGAAAAGGGATTATGATGGAGAGATAGGATTTGTTATCTGGAAGCCTGAGTAGCATCTTGATGTGAGGAAGAGTCCTTTTTTAAGAGGCAGAAATCAGAATGGAAAAGCAGAGGGCTGGTTCTTGAATCAAAACATCACTGAGAAGAGAGATGAGTCAAGAGTATATTGCTTCCTCGAATCTCTTTGGATGAACCCATTTCCAATCACATTCAGAATCAGTTCCATGCTTTCCCTTGCTAGCTTGTCTGCTGAGGTCATTGTCAGCTTCTAGGAACTGCCTTCATGGGCTCGCAGCTTCCTTCCTGCATCTTCAAAGCAAACAATGGCGAGTCAAATCCTTCTTATGCTTCACATCTCTCTGACCTCTGCTTCTGGCTCATCTGTTCCCTTTCTTTCTCCTGAATCTCTCTGACTTTTCTGCTTTGAAAGATTCAGGTGACTACATTACATTTATTCAGATAGTCCAGGATGATTTCCTGAATTTAAGATCAGCTGATTAGTCACTTTCACTCTTAACAGCAAAGTCCCTTCACTGAAGCATTTGGATTAATGTTTAATTGAATAACAAGGACACTGGAATCTTGGAATGAGGGACATCTTTAGAATTGTGCCTACCACACAAGTCAGAGGGAAGACATTTCTAACTCACACTGTGCATAACTGTATGCTTTTCCCACTGTCTCTCTCAAACCCTGTGAGGTGGACAGGACACGTTGATTTATTCCCATGTTTTATACATGAAGCATAGGACTCAGTGAGGAGAAGAGGCTTGAACCATGATGACACAGCAGTTTTTAAAATTTTTTAGAGACAGAGTCTTGTTCTGTCACCCAGGCTGGAGTGCAGTGGCACAATCTCGGCTCACTGCAGCATCTGCCTCCCAGGTTCAAGCGATTCTCCTGCCTCAGCCTCCCTAGTAGCTGGGATTACAAGCACATGCCGCCACACCCTGCTAATTTTTGTATTTTTAGTAGAGATGGGGTTTCGCCATGTTGGCCAGGCTGGTCTCGAACTCCTGACCTCAGGTGATGCACCCACCTCGGCCTCCCAAAGTGCTGGGATTACAGGCGTGAGCCACTGTGCCCGGCCGACACAGCAGTTCTTAAGGCAACCTGGTATACCGGAAACGATACTGGGTTCAGAATCCAGGGACTTATGACTTCAGTATGTCAATTTCTTGGCCCTGTGAACCTGACCAGTTTCTATCCTGTTCTGAGCCTCAGTTTCCTTATCTGTGAAGTGATGCATTGATAACTACATCACAGTGTTGTGAGATTTGAGAATGATAAAGTATGTGACTCTCCAATGCACAGCACATGGGCCACCATTATTGTTCAGTATTTATTTAATTTTTTTTTAAAGATATCTGCAGAGCCACTGCTAGAACCCAAATTTTGTGGGTTTTGTTTGTTTGCTTTTGGAGACAGAGTCTCACTGTCACTCAGGCTGGAGTGCAGTGGCATGATCTCTGTTTACTACAGCTTCTGCCTCCTGGGTTCAAATGATTACCTTAGCCTCCCGAGTAGTTGGAATTACAGGTGCATGCCACCACACCTTGCTAGTTTTTGCATTTTAAGTAGAGAAGGGATTTTGCCATGTTGGCTAAGCTGGTCTCAAACTCCTGGCCTCAAGTGATCTGCCCGCCTTGACCTCCCAAAGTGCTGGGAGCCACCGCACCTAGCCAAAACCCCAAATTTCTTGGTTCCAAATCTCCTTTCATTTGGCAAAGCTTTATTATGCGCCAGTTGTGTTCCAGTTTGTGTGCTGGGTGCTAGACACACAAAAGTGACTCAGGTTTGACTTTGAAAGGTGACTCCATTATGTCACACAAA